TGGTTGTAATGTGACAAAATATGGAAAAGTTCAAGGGGTATGAATACTTTTGCAAACCACTGTATATATGAATTCAGTGCCCAACTGGAGGCCCAGAGCAGTGGTTTTATTTGAATCTGAGCCGATCCCTGTGGAACTGATATCTTTTCGTATGTTTGATGGTAGAAAGAAACACTAAGAAGAAAAAAACTGCACAGGGAGACAGGCGGGTGGGTTTGGGGGGATGAGAGCTTTATGGTTGAGAAGGCAGTAGAGCAAGAACGAAAAGATGAAAGGATAAAGAAAGAAGAAAGAGCTTAGTGGGGCAGGAACAGTTTCTACTGACCTCGATCAACTTTAATAGGCACAAAGTCTGTAATTGGCAGGAACAGTTTTCTGAGACATGAGCAAATCAAAGAAATTATATATGAATGGTTTTTTTTATTTGAAAAACAGACTGTGAGGATTAAAAAAAGAGACTAAGACTAATAGAACAGAGAAGGACACACAACGTTTTATAAAAGAGAAAATATCTTTATCATAGGCTCATGACAGAGTAAGAGAGGTGAGCTATTTGTTAGGAACAAAACACAAAAACACATGAATTTCATTTATTTTATTTCAAGTCATTAAATGGACAAAGCAATGCATTTCCCTTGAACTCCATAAATTGGTTGCTACTCAATGAGGCTGGACTGCTTTATTGTAAATGTCCTTTTAAAATCATATCGGCTGTGACCTTTGTACAGGCAACCAAAGCACGTTATTGTGTAGGAGAAAATCATTAAGGGAGGTTTATTAAAGAACACCACATTAGCAACTGTGACAAGTTTGTCAACACACTTGTGAAGATCTTTGTTTAAATGCTGCTTTTTCCTTTGAATGTCTTTTACATCTTTGTGTGTTTATCTTTCGTTTCTTAGCTGCCCCTGGAATTCCAGGAACGCATCAGTTCCTACTTGGAGAAACATAACCGGGGTAGAGGAGCCAATGTGTCAATAGGTCACGGCAATTACCCCGACGAAGTGCCCACAACTATCATTGCCAAGGTCCTAGAAAAGCCTGAACCCGGTAGCAGCTCCCCGAAAACGTGTTCGCCCAGCCCGCACCAGGATGGAGACTTCCTAATAGGAACAGGAAGCACTGATCACCTGAACCGCCGCATTGCGTATAAAACATCTGACCTGTACTGCAGTGACACGGCCCTGTATTGCCCTGAACGATGGCAAGACACAGAGCGTAGGCAGAGCGTTGATCTCCACGGCACAGGCTTGATTCAGCTGCACGCCCAAAACTCCATCGAAAGTAACCCAGATGAAGATCCTTTTCAGTCTGGAAGTTTCTCACACCATGAGCCCCCAGCTTCTTTTCACCACCCAGATGAGTTTGGTACTGGTAGTCTCCCAGTCTCCAGTTCCTACTCCAGCTTCAGCCTTGCGTCAGATGAGAAGGGGGCGGTCAGTGGTGGGTACGGGCGCAATGCCAGCAGCACCTTGTCTTCTTCGCACCAGGGTCTCTATATGGACTGGCGAGATGGTGGCAGTGGGGACTATGAGCGGAAAAGCATGTCCTCTTATGAAAAAGACAGTCCCAGCTTCTCCAAATCACACAGCATTCAACAAATGGCAACTTCCAGGAGTCCACAGAAGGGCAACTTGCCCATGTACACAAGGACAGCTTCATGTCTCAGTGAACCGTACCACTCCAGCAGCCCTCGCCTGGCGTCCTCTCACAGCAAGAGCTCCACAGGGTTACTGGACCAGGCTCAGGGAGGAGCTCTAGACACCCGAAATGACATACAGGTCCCTGAGGATGACTTGAGTATCCGCTGGAAACAGCTAAGCGTGGAAGACATGAACACCTTCTCATCTCCTTACCGCGATGTTGCAGGGCGGATTTCTCCGTACAGTTTCTCTGAACGACACTTCGCCATGAGCTCCTCCAGCAAAGTCAAGGAGTCCCTCTACAGCAGCTTCCAAGAAGGAGACGACGTCTTCCACAGCCACGTGCTTGACCAGTGTTTTGGCATGGGCTCCCCTTCACCCACCCGCAGTCCCAAACCTAAAGAGCACCGTAAGCAGGAGAAAACAACTGRGTTGTACCGAGCCAAGGACGACAGTCAAGACTCTGAAAGCAGCCTGTTTCTCTCAGGGAGCTCTAAGGACAAGGAAAGCAGCGGTGGAGCGACAGCAGCTAACAGTGCCAAGAAGGACTACATGAACCTGAGTGTGGACAGCTCCGGTGAGTCCTTGCACCACAGCTCGCTGGAAGCTTCGAGTCTTCAGCACTACCCCAGCCCCAGGCCAAGCGTTCGGCCTCGCCCGAGCTCCAGCTCTGCCATCAGTGTGGGCCCTGCACTGCCGAAGAAGACCTCTCCAAGATACCAAAAATTTGGCAGTACAGGACTGACAAGGAAGGACAGTCTGACCAAGGCACAGCTCTARGGAACACTTTTAAACTGAACGATTAAAGAGATCTTTACAAGTATTTGCATGACAATAATGAAGATTCCTAAGTTAGTGAACTGTATGGCTCCCTGCGGTAAACACATACTTGTGATGGGGTGTTACACTGTTGTTATTTTTCTGTATCTTAGCCACGGCACGTTCCAGTCTGCAGCATTTATTTTTTTCTATTGTGCATCTTAATACAGTGTAGCAACCTAATACCAGCTATTCAGTATGTTTTATTTATCATTTATGTATTTTATAGTAATAAGAATAATTAGTGTCACTGGGATGAAGGCTTGGACTCAGCTGAATGAGGTCTCCGTTCTCTTTTTGGCGCCGTTAGCACACCKCATAAAAGACTATCAATCCTGGTTTTATTAGCAGCGGGACTGATAACGAACAAAAGCGTGCGTAATGAGGTGAATTATTTACTCKTGTTGGAAAAGGGTTCTCCATTATGTGTTGTGAACCGTGCTGACTGCAAGATGTTAAAACGACCTATCCCCTTTCTATTTTCTCCTAAACAAAATGCATGTTGTATAACACACATAAAAGGGTAGGAAAAAGCACTTATAAATTGTTCGGCACAGGGACATTATCTGTATAGGAACCTTTATTTTCAAACTGTGTAAACAGATATAATATACAGTAAATGTCGACTTTATATGATATTGAGTATTTTCTAGCAAATTAGCTTGATTTAATTCTTCAGTCTATTAAGCAATTGCCTGGATTTGTTCATCGAATTTCACAGATTACATAGGATACAAAATAGGGCAAAATTTCACGTAGAACATGTACAAATGAAACAAACTACCCACTGGTTAGGAATTATTACACATATATTAAYTGAAAATATTAGCTGCAAGACTTGTGATTTTATACAGCTGGAGTTTTTCATATTTTGTAACAAAATTAGTTATTAATTTGGGTTGTTGTACTGCACATTAGCTAAACCAGGACACCTGTGAAGTTGCCTTAATCCTGTTCGGACAGAATGATCTCCTTTACAGCATCTAACAACTGTGTACAGTGTGTTTTTCTCCAGCAAACTGAAAGTCCTGCAGAATACCAACAAAGGTGGCTATAAAAACATTGGAGTGAGTATTTAGTTAAAGGCTAAAATGTACAGTCACTGTGTTGCATTAAACCAGCATTCTCAGTTTTACAGAGATAACACTGTGAAAATAAATCAGTTGTGTATGTATAGATAAATATAAAGTAGCAAAGGCATGCTGTCCTGTTAGTGAGAAAYTAAAATGTTCTACAGAAAAAATAGGAGACCCTGGCTTATGAATATGAYGAGCTGCAGAGAGGTTGTCTTGCTGCCAAACAGTCATGCAACCATCTGCTACTCTTGTGTCGAAAGTTGCCAAATGACAATGTTTCAACATCTGTGCTCCCCAACTTTTCTTTCCGCCTGTGTGGCTCTGAAGATCTAAGGCAGGATGATGGGCATAAGGAACTCAGCTCTGTCCTGAGCTGTGATGAATAAGATTTGTATTTTTTTTTTATCTCTACCTCTCATTCATCTGAGAACTAACTTAAAGCTGTTCTGGAGATTATATCCAAAACTTTACACCACCGTTCACGGCGTTTTGGAGCTAAATTTAGTCATAAAGCGGTAAATTTATTATTTTTTTTTTGTGGACATAATGTGCAAAAACAGATGCAACATATACAGATATTATACTATTTTAAATAGTTTTAGTTCACGTTTTATTTATTGAATGTTTTGACCCTGAATGACAAGGCTGAAGTGGTTCTGTTCTGTTCTACCTCCAGCCCTGTTTCTGGACCTAAAGGCCTGGCGTCTCACTACACTGTTACCATGTTTGTCTGTCTGATGCATGGTTATAGATTTTTGCTGTCTGTTTATTTATTTAATAAAGGTGGGTGTTGGGAAAAAGGCATGGTGGTTTTTTATTTTTTTGAATTATTATTATTTGTACACCCTGCACACTTTGTTTCCTTTATTCTTTCTTTTATATATTTAAACATATGTTGTTTGTATAAATGTCCTCTGTACGTTAGGGAGTTATTCTCAATTGTATTTTATAGCTTGCTTGCGAGGCCATTTTTGCTCAATAAAGCTTCGCAAATTTCTAATTTCAGCAGAAACTAATTGAGAAATTCCCAGACTTTTTACAGGAGATAGGAGCATAATATAAAACAGCAAAAAGCCCAGTTTGAACGTTTCTTTTCTTATAAATTTTTAACACCCTTCATTAAATTGCCTCTTTTCTGTTTTGCTTTATTTTAGAAACTGTTTACGACTTCTTGATTTCAAAGCATTTTTTGAATAGAGAAAACTTTTTTTCAGATTAGTATAACCTTGCTATTACTAAACTCAGCGTCAAATATTCTATATTTATCTCTTTTGTTATTTGGTGATTTGTTTTCAGACTCAAATGCCAGCAGGAAATAAAATGAAAATTGAAACAAAATACCTGCAGATAACTTCAAACAGCAGCAGATTCCACTAACATGCTTGTGCACATTTAGATTCCCAAACTGCTTAGAGGTTATTTTTAGATTTTAAAAGCTTTGATTTTTATATTTTCTATTATTAATACAAGWAGAGCCTAACATCAAAGGCACCAAATGGAAAACTATCAAATAGATTATCAGAAATACATATTTAGCTTTTGTTTTTGGCTAAAAAAAGATACATATTTAAGCACTTCAATGGAGATCCAAATGGGTGTGGATGATTGGCAGGATTTTGGAAGAACTTGACAGACCCTAACCCCYCTCTCTGTGCTGCTTTAAGCTGCTGGTGTGAAAAAAATAAATAAAGTCACATCAGAGCCAAGGAGACTCCAGRCAGCAGTGTGTATGATACAAAATATGGACTGAAAACACAAACTGTTCGGACTAGAAAATGTCCTGAATTTTTTTTATTTTTCTCCCCTTTTGTTTTTACAAAAATTTAAAAATTGCTACGTCTGTATTTTTCATAGAAGGTTCACAAAACATGTGTGTGGCTTTCGCAGCTTAAAATCACAGCAGTAAATCTTTTGATCTCTTGCAGTCTGTGCAAAGGTTTTCAGTTCAGTTTAGTCTTTTATGTGACGGTTTGGCCCCAAATGGATTTTGACTTCTTCATATTCGTCCGTCAGTGCCAGATCTTGATTTGGCCTGCCCAGTCGCAGGTGGCGGCGGTCGCCGGGAGGACGGGGTGCTGTGAAACGCAAAGGCAGGGCTGGCTGTGAGCCTGGAACGAGTGCAGCGTGCGAGCGTAGTGGAAGTCGTAGAAGTGAGCGAAACCCYTGGAGCTCCCTGAGGCCAGGATCGTCCCATCCAGAGAGAAATCACACTGCACAGCAAATCCCTCCACCTAGAACAGAAAGTTCAATATCAGTGTGTCAGCTGAAAGAATTTCATGATCTCCATCAGCAAGCTGAGATTAGAAAAAAAACTCTTGAGAAATAAAAAAGTTACAGAGCAGCAAGATTTTTATGTGGAGACAAGACCTCAGAGTTTGGATCACGAGTGTTTCAGTTTGTAGACTTCCTCATTGCAGCTCTGAACAGACTGTGTGTGTGTGTGTCCCCTGCTGCTGCCCTGAGGTCACAGTCGTTACTGACCTTATGTCCTTCGAATCGCCGCCTCTTGTTCATCCTGTAGGGCTTTTGGGAGCAGAARAGAGCCATGTAGTTCCCATTGGTCTGGGCAACAAATGAGTTCTCCTGTGGATGGAGAGCCAAGCTCGGACACGTGTAACGCTCCTGGTGGCCAAATGAGTGGAAGGTTCAAATTAGAGAGGAAATGAAACAATTATGGGACACCCTTTTTTTGCTGGTTTATAACGAGTACTATTTATTAATTAAATAGGTTCTTCATCTAAAAGTGGACCAAGTAACAGAAATGGATTTTAAAACTATTAGTTTTGTTGCAGACATGCTGTTAAAGAAGGAAAATGAGTTTAAAGATGAATAAAAGTGTATTTTTAATAGATTGTAGACGTCCTCGTGTTCTATTTTACTGTCAGAATATGCGGGTTTTAAATGCCTCATTTCTAGTTTTGTTTCACATAAAAAAGTGACACATTTTACCGGACGTGCCTGAAAATGTTTGACAACAAACAAAGTCTTTGTTGTTTTATTTTAAATTAATAGCCAGACATTTATGTATTAAGGGGCCTGATCCACCCCACCAACAGTGAATACTTACATGGTAAATCTGGTTGGAAACCTTGGCTGTGGTCTGGTAGTCCCAGGCGATGAGGGTCCGGTCTGCAGAGTCCCTGCTAACACAGTCCGTGGTCGTTATGAAGTCCTCCCCACCTRGCAGAAAAAGGATATCTAAGGTTTGCTGAATCCCTGCTTTGTACACTTTCACCACCTACAAACACAAACACACAAATATGCATGAACACAAATATGCATGCATAAACAGACATATCCAAATTACTATTAAGCCATAAAAAAGTCAAATTAAACCTATAACTGTACTGCATARAGGCGAGTGTTGCTAAAAAAAAAACCACAGTCCAGATGTTTTTGGTTCAGAGGAGAAATCAACAATAAGAAAGAAAACATCTGCTCCTTTTTATTTTGCTCAAGGCAGGCAGTCATAAAGTCAAACACACTGAGCTGTCACCTATAAAAACATTATGTTAGCCCAGGAATCAAACACAAAGGTAGGGATTTCACGCAACATCTCATTCTATATACCTTTATTGGACTTTTATTAAATAAAATGGCTTATATTTTATGGTGTGGACACGCACCTGGAGGGAAAAAAACTGGGTTTTCAAGCGCAACACAGCTGAAATGATCTCTACAGATGCACTGCATAAAGGTCAAACATAGTGTTATTGGAAGTAGATGAGAAGATAAAACCTATCACAGATCAAAGGCAGTTTAGTGACAAAATTTTTATTAATTAATTAGTTATGTATGTAAACTCATTTAAGCTCAAAACAGTTTAATGTAATGAGCTGATCATCAACACCCTAATATCAGAACAAAATGATCCCAAATGATGAAGAGTCATTTAAATCTCTATGACAGGGCTGTTCAACTAAATTGCTCAGGGGGCCACAGTTACTCAGAGAAAACAGTTCAGGGTCCGGACATCTTGGGGTGGGGGGAGTCGCCCGATAATGACAGGGGGAAACACTGCGTCTTATCTTTTATATGTGTTTATATTTGTTGCATTAAATCATAAATATAAAAATTTCAATTGATTTAAAGTGTAGGTTTTTTTTGTTTTGTTTTTTTTTATTGGAGAGGGGTGGGGTCTCATTAGTGGGTCGGATGTAAGTCACCTGCAGGCTGGATTTGGCCCGCAGGCCACCAGTTGAATAGCCCTGCTGTATGATTTAAATATTATTTTCTTTTGGATATTCTTAGATTTTCAGTCTCCCACAGTCAGCTTGTCCTCAAACCCAGAGTTTGTGCAGCTCAGGTAGGATAAAAGCCTAATAAAGTTTTTTTTTGTTTTTTCTGTGATTTCTAAGATCTGAGTTTGAAAAGTGGTTTGGTCAAATCAGATCTGACTGAACAGAGAGCAGCTTCTCCATATAAGCTGATTTAATGTTGTGCTCATTTCATAGGGTTTTTACTGTAAGAGAACCAGTTCTGACTTCTATTTTTTTCAGCTTCCTGAGTCCACCTGACTTCGCAATTGGAAGGGCTGAGCCCGTGGGTGGGCGAGACAAAATCAACCCTGACATTATGTTGGGATAGTTTGGGCCCCATGGTGAGACAGCTCGAGCCTGAGCCTGACACGCAGCCTGGGCAGCGGCGCTTTAACAGCTCGCTGCTGTCTGCAGCTCGTATTGACACCTACCAACAGAAGCATCTCCGCTGTATTAAAATCTCCAACCCCGCTGGGAGACGATTCAGTTCGCCGAGGGGAGAAATTACATGCGAGCATTCAGATCCTGAGGAAGTGAGCAGGATTATCATATAAAACACTCCATTAGGCTTAATAGCAATATTAGGCTGCAGCTTCACAGGGACAGCCTGAGAGGCTTGGATTAAATTAAGGTTTGTTTTGAACAATTAGTGAGATAACTTGGAGTGTTTCTGTGCATGCGGCTGTATCATGCAGGGGAGTTCAGCATGGATCAATGTAAAGCGATATCTAGTTTGAACTAGTGTACAGCTGAAGACAAGGGAAGCTTTGTTAATAAGTCAGTAAAAATGTCTGCTTGAGACACAAGGAGGGGAAAAAGTCGAACCTTACAGCAGCGAGAGTCCCAGGCTTTGACCTCCGGGCTGTAACCCCCACACAGGAAAACATCTGGGCTGCTGGGGTGCAGGGCCACACACATCACCTTAAACTGGTTGTCCAGTTTTACCACCTGCTGCCCTGCAAACATCACATGCAAAAAGAGATAAATAGAAATAAATACAGTGTAAAGTTTCTATTTTCAGTTCTTACCCTAACAAACACTTCCATTCCTGAGCAATAATGTTTCACATTTTAAGTAGGCAAACAGAGAAAAATAACTAATAACTACGTATATTCAGCACAACTTCTAGTTTTCAGTATTACAAGAGTTTACTAATTATCTCAATAGTGGACTAAAAAAATCATGATTTACAAAAGATTCTGGTGAATCTGGCCAAAATGTGGATTTATCAATACGACATTTTGATGTTGTACATTTGCACGTAATCTATAACCCTTAATACTGTAATAATAATAAAAAAAGATCCATTTCTGAATCACAGAGATTCAACAAATGGGTTGCATCATAAAAACTATTCTAAAAATTANCCCTTAATACTGTAATAATAATAAAAAAAGATCCATTTCTGAATCACAGAGATTCAACAAATGGGTTGCATCATAAAAACTATTCTAAAAATTAAAAAAAGGAAGGAATTTTATGAATGTTGACAATATAAAAAATAATTTGTTGATAATTAAAAGAATCAAGAATGTTGTAATTGGCTAAATATTTGTGCACGATGTCTAACAGCTAAGTCCAACTGCATTCTTATCTGAATATTCCTATTTATATCAATGCAGAGATTATTACATAAAACTTTTGCATTAATTATCGAAGTCAACCCTTGTTAGCAAAATATCTCATCAATCACTGGACAGAGTTTAATGAAGCTTTCATTAACTAATCATTCTCTACAAGTGATTATTTTTTGAAGTCAACACAATTCAARGTATCCACCACAGCTTATCGATATTAGCAAACTCAAACATAATAATAACAAAATCATTTTCAGATACTGATCTTACTGTGAGCTGCTCACATCGCACACTCTGAGCACACGACTTCGTCATTTCTCAACATGAAACAAATTTGTCTTTTGCAGCTGTTAAGGCAAAATTACATAACATGAATTAAACTTGCTTTAGAGCTGCAAGTTATTCTGAAACTTCTTTGTGTTTTTGTTTGTCAGTGCTCCCTGTGAAGGACTCCTTCCACTTCTGTGCTGTAAACACCYTGCGTAATTAAACCCTGCATACATTCACAATCAAGCTCATTGTTGACACTGACAATCTAGCAGGAAGGTGCTATGAAAAACAAAAGGAAGAAACAAAAAGAAGCTTGATTTTTTTTTAAATCAAGGTCATTCAAGCAGATTGTCATCATATCGTTAAACCCTGGAGATGTTCTTCTGAGACAAAATTTGTAGCGTTATTATTAATTGACTGGGAGCAGGCTGCTTATACCTATTTAAAGACTGTGCTGACCAAAAACCTGCAATGTTGCAAAGCCTTTGTGGKTTAATGAGCAACTATTTTTGCGCAGCAGCATGATACTGATGCTAGTCTTCGCTAAGAAGAGTTAAACATCACTCCAGARGAAAAGATGCAACTGACAGCGATGTAGAGAGAGAGAGAGAGGGTACAGAATCATGTTTTGGCTAGAGGCTGTTTTATCTAAGTCTGTCTCAAAAAAAAAAAAAAGTCACACTTAAACAGAAAACAAGAACGCTGAGGGSGTTTAAGTATAATTAGGCCTGATAGGGTACGGCCAGAGAAATTAGCTCTGTGAGAAAACATGAAGGCAGAGTCTGAGCCAGGAGCTCGAAAGCTCCACAAAGTGCAACACCTCGGGGCTCGAACGGATCCTCATTAATTCATCGAGCAAACAACAAAGACCCCACCCGTTAACCCCCAACACAAACACACTTCATTATACAGCTGTCCCAGGATTTCACCGGCGAGGGCTTTGATTTTATAAACGAGAAGAACGAGACACAGATTGCCAACAGGAGTCTAAGCATGGGTGTTTTCCTACTTTGTGCTGGACTAGTTGGCTCCCAAATTTGATCCAAAGTTTTAACAGGCTGTTTCATCAGGCCTTCATGCTTAATTGGCTTACTGTGGCAAAGATCTGCCATGGAGATTAAACACCCCGTGCTTGGAGAGACAATGAGAAGTCAACACTTACCTCCTGATAAATATGGCCTCGTCGTGATTTAATTAAGCAATATTAATTAACTGGTTTGACAGATAAGGAAGAGCTGCAGTGATCCGCCCCTCCATTTTCTAATAGCTTTATGCTGATGGATCAGTGCATGAAGAGCATGCACATCTCAACTGATGACTACAAAGAGGAGGACATGTGGTATGACTGGGATAGCACGGCAGAGAGAGGAGAAGAGGAAATGACTAAATGACAGGGGCGCTCAGGAAGAGGGAAAATAAAACTAAGCTTTGTCTTTTTTACCTTTTCTTAAAAATAGTATGACCACATGTGACAAACTCAAGGCCCCCGGGCCAAAGATGGCCCACCACAGTGATTTATGCGGCCCCTGAAAACTTCAAAGATGCATTAATGTCTGAAAAGAGGTGCATGCTGTTTTAAAGCCAGCGTTGACCATAAACAACTCCCATAAAGAARGCTGATTATTTCATCTGTGAAATGATGGCATCCCACCACTAGATGGAGGTGCACAGYGTTCAAAAGWYTCCAGCAGTTAGAAAAATTTGCCATGTAAAATCTCTATTTCACTGCATTTTCGCTGGCTACTTTTGCTGTGGCCCAGTTGTACTGGTAAGTGTGAATTTCCCACTTACAAGTCGTGAATTTAAACTGGAAGTGGAAGACTTCAGAATTCAAGATGGCAGCTTCTCACTACAACTCATCAGTGAGTAAAACTCTCATTTTTAATATTATTTCTATATTTAATTAAGKTTTAGTCAGTCGTGCACAAACTTTTCAGTGTTCATAAGAWGTGTTAAAACTCTGTTCCTATTCAGGAAATACCATGTAGAGCTCAWTTYTTTATTTATTGTTTGTTAGCAYTGCTAATGTAGCCYTAGCAATGAGACGAGAAATGTCAAAGTTAATTACAGTTAGCAATAAAGTTAACAAAGTTAATTWATTACTCAAGTGGCCCTCTGTGAAAATGAGTTTGACACCCCTGATTTATACCATAGGCGCTGTATGACGGAAACATTTAGTGGTCCTGGCGTGACTTTTTAACATCGTGTTAAACTTTGAAGCCCAAAATCTAATAAAGAGGATAGAAAAAGAATTAGCATATCAGTTTCACCTAAAGTCTGTTCAAATTGGACAAATATAATGACGAGAAGTGAGGAGAAGCAGAATAAATATGCTGGATTTGTAGAAGTTTTAAAAAGTATTTTTTTTCTCCTTCCAATCCAGAGTTGACAAAGTTTCTGTAATAAATATTGCAAATGCTCACTGGGGTATTAATGCACAGTTTTTTGGAACTTAAAAGCAGCCCTCTGGCATCACTTCCCACATGAGGCTGCCTGCTTTTAAACGATTCCAATACAGAATCCACCAAGAATCCACCAGACTGGTGGACTGGATTGAGAGCAGCTATGATAGTTAAGACACACATTTTTTTTCTTTTTGAACTAATAGATGGCTTTATTTTTTGGGATGTAAAAAAACAAAGTCGAATTAGCAGGATAACATTTTAAAAATCAAGCTTTTCCAGTTGAATGTATGATCTATTTTGTTTTCAGAAGATTTCCAGGCCTGTTTGCACAAATTGATGTATAAAACGCTGGCCACAATATTAATGAAGGAGCTGTTTTCCAACACAACTTCAGCCAATCAGCTTTTCTGAAGGGTTAGAGTGTCTCACCATGGCTGCCTCTTCACTTCATCCAGATGAAGTAAATTTGTTTCCAGCTCTACAATGTTTCTGACAGGCTCCCTCTGGTCCGTTGGAAATCTTATTCTACAAATTACTGAGGACACACCTGCTGAGGAGGGTGATGAAAATCATTCTTTGGAGTCGTTTAGGTTTGCTGTGGTAATAGACGGGTCAGATGTCCCACTGACACTGATTACTAAAGAACAAGAACCTTGAGCTGAAGTGAACTCAACCAGTCCAGACACTTTGTTGAAGAGAGAAATTATTATGGAGTGTGCAACAATCACATTATGACAGATGTGGAAAACATTCGGTTTATATATAGTATGTAGCTGTAGCTTTATTTATTTTAAAGCCATAGTGTTAGAAGTAGAGAAACTGTATATTCTAAAAAAAAGTGCTGTGTGCTGAAGGAGCTGAAACTGAGGTATTAAAACCAAAAGAACCAGACAACTAGGTAAAAGAAGGTGAATACAAGTTAAAAACAAAGAGGAGAAAAATACTAACTAAAAGATAAATAAGCTAAATTCTACCAATAAGCCAAAAGTAGCAAAAAAGTAAGCTAAAAACTAAATTGACAAAAGGTTAGCTATGTCATGGTCTCTCTCTGTGTGTGTGTGTGTGTGTGTGTGTGTGTGTGTGTGTGTGTGTGTGTGTGTGTGTGTGTGTGTGTGTGT